TTGGTCTACATTTGGGAACATTAGATACACCCTTTTTAGTTCACAACCTGCAGCACACTCACCCCTCCAGCTTTCACTTGCTGCTCCAACTCTCGACACCAGGTCTGGTACTGCAGTACCTGAATGGAATGAACATGAGAGAAGCAGCTTGTTATAGACTCCACTCACCCCACATTAACTTTTCTCTGACTCTGTCCAAGAGTGATTCTGATACGCTCCACAAGAAGTCACTGCAATATAGGGAAGTTTCACTGTACTATGACAGAGATTGGGGCGGGGTTTCTTTCAGGCGTAGCGCTGTCTGCTCACCTGAGACAGCGGCAGCAAGCAGAACGATGGGACGACCGTGGGCAGCTCTACGTGACCTACGGCCCCCGCGTACCCCGAGCCAACAGCTGGCTGTTCAAGGGGGTCCTTGAAGAGACCGAAATGAGTTTTCAAACTTGCTCTGCGAGCAAACCAGCGCGACTCCTGCCTGGGACAAACCCCGCTAACGGGGCCGAACAGCAGCGATGCTGCAGGCACGGAGATCAGGAGGGGCTCGGCAGCGAGACCGCGGCGGGACGGGCGCTCCCGGGGCCTCCCCGCCCCGAGCTCCGAGCTCGGCGCCGCCCGCCCGGGGAGGCCCCGCAGGTTCCCGCCGAGTCCCCATGGGCAGCGCGGGCGGCCCCGCTCCCCCTCCCTGCCGCCGGGCACCGCCCGCTGCTCACCTCGTCCTGCAGCTGCCGCACCAGCCCCGCCTGGCGCTGCTGCGCCTCCTCCGCGCTCCGCAGCCGCCGCCGCAGCGAGCCCGGGCTGAGCTCCCCATGGCCCGCGCTGCCCGCCATGGCCGGCCCAGCCCAGCCCGGGGCCCGGCCCAGCCCGCCCCGAGGGTCCCGCCCCGCCGGCGGCGGGAGGAGCGGCTCCCCGGGGCCGGCCGGAGGCAGCGCAGGCTCCGTGAGGGGCGGCGCGGCCTGCCCGTGGCGGGCCCAGCGCGGGCCGCTGTGGGCGCTTCCACTCTGGCAGGGAATGTAATCAGAAAATAGAGTGATGGTGAACCCTCTGCATTTCATCGGGAATTGTTCTGGGAGTTAGTTAAGTTAACCCCATTGCTAAAAATATGTTTCATGTTGTATTTGGCTGCTGAAGAACGCTGGCTTGTTTTCAGTCCCTGCTTTTTCCCGTGTCTGTGAATGCTTCATCACTGACATTCTGTTTTTTTAAAAAGAGTGGAATAAATGAATTGCCACCAAAATTCTCTTTGGTCAGCAAAGTAATTTGGCATCTCGGGATCTCTCTCTCAAGTCTTGAATCATTTAAACATGCTTCTATTGCAAAGATGAACAATACCTATCAAAGGCAACTCAGGCTAATTAACATTGTGTACCAAATGCAGGGACTCTTGTTAGTGAATAGGCTTGAAGAAGCTTGAAACAAACCCTTTATTTCTCTAACTGGTAACAGGCAGAGGTACCAAAAATAAGAAAAAAAAAATTCCACTTAGTTCAGAGTTGGGGAAATTAGGTACATCTGTGGAATCAAGAAACAAAAATAACACTCCCGCTCAGGATATTCCATGTTTCTATGATTCTGTGCTTTGTAGTTCACTACTGTTTGCACATGTAGCCAAGTTTATTGATAACCAATGACACAATTATTTCTTTGGACTTCCAACTTTTTATTTAACAGCACAACATTGTTTTAAATTATGCCACCTTCACATGGAAGCGGAAGCATCATTACATTTGTTTTGCTCTGGCCCAAGACAAGCAAGTTTTAATTTTAACATCTGTAGATTTTGTGCAATTCTTTCCTTCTGAAAAGTACAGAGCTGTTAAGTTCCTTCCTAAATTATAACTTCACACTTTTAAAAAGCAGTTGCCCAAGAGCTATGGTGCAGAGGTCTAAATCCTCACAGAAATAGAATGATAATTAGTTTCAATAAGCAAAACAATGTGACAGCAAATGGCCTAATGTATGGAGTTAACTCAATCTTTTAAGTCCTTTCTGGAAATTAGTGCACCTGGGAAAGGACAATGAATTTCCTGATAGATCACTCTAAAGGCTTCCATGTGCAGCTTCAACTGCAAGTTTGCAGCAGAGAGCAAATTCTAACTCTTGGCATCACATATCCAATGGAGCTGTTCATCCTCAGGGAATGGCAGTGTTTTCAACACTGTGAAATCTTCCTCTGGCTTCTCAGAGTGATCCCTTCCTCTAGACCATGCTGGACAGCCAGAAGGGCTGAGATTGTCTGAGAAGGCGTCACAGCTCATGTAGGCATAATGTCAGGATCTGGAGAACAGGAGGAAAGGCACTCCAGGGAGCAGGGACACAGGTGGCCCTCCCTTTTCAAATCCCACCCAAACCGTGTGAGGGAGGAGCTGCTGTCACAGAACAGGCTCAGGAGGACACATGGGCTACATGAACCTGACCACTCGAGGGGAGTGGCACAGAAATGTGGCTGGTGGTGAGCAGTGGGAGGCTTGGAGCACCACTGCCGCTGTGCCCTGTAATCCAGAGCCTCCCCAGCAGGAGGTTTCCAGCTACACACTGAACTCCTGCAGTGGAGTTTGAGTTTAGCCAGCTGGAATGACTCCACTTTGGTGTAGGGATGATAGGAACCCCCCAGTCTGTGGGTCTTGTTCAGGGTCAGCATTCCACTCTGGGGTCTGTGGGGCTCAGTGCACTCCACAGCATCTGTGCTCCCATGGTTCCAAGCACTAAGATGGTGTTTGCTTCAAGAGAGCCTCTTTTAAAGAGAGAGATTAGTTTGCACACCTTGTTTTGCTTGCTTTTCCTTTTTCTTTCTGCCTAGCTCTGTCCAGCCCACTAAGATTTTTAAATCTCAGACATGTAAATATTCTTTGAATATATCAATGATCATGCTTTAATTTGATTTACTAAGACAAGGCCCATGTAATCACATTGTCCAGCCTCCTGCTCTTTCACGTCCCATCTCTTATGTCATTTGTAAATCTGTTTGCAAATCTCAGCCAAGTTTGATAGAGCAAACAACCTTTTAAAGATATTAAATTTTTACAAGCAATGTGAAAACTGGAAGCTGGATAGATTAAAAGTGGAAATTCAACATTTAGCTACTTTTGTGGCTTACTGGCAAGCTGATCAATACCCCCACGGTGCAGAACCAGACACAGCACACCACCCAGCAGAAAGGTGGGCAATATGGGAAGGATAAAGTGATGGTATGGCTGGGAGGGCCATGGGATGGTGTGGAGTGACTGCTGGGGAATGGTTTCACCAAAGGTAACTCCCAGGAGAAGCTGCTTTATTTTGTAGGGAAATATCAAAAGTACAACTGACTTCAGAGGAAGGGCCATTAGATCAAAATCAGGAGGACTGTGATTTGAATCTACCTTATTTCTGACATCTGAAAAATCACTGAACTCTTCTATCCTTCAGTTCCTCCATCAAAACAAGTGAAGCATCCAGAGCTCCTCATGGCATGCAGGTTGCTATTTATGAAAGCAGTTCACTGCTTCTGATACTGGTCAGGGTGGGTGGGGAATGCTACAGCACACACAGAACAAGCTAAAAGGTGGTGTACCTTTTTCCTTTCATCTTAACTCAAAAAGAGAGGCAATTGCAGAAGGACTGGGCTTAGCATCTGTGCAAGATGAGAGATGGGTCCCTGTAATCCCTGCTGAGTCCAGCCCAGTGCCTCCTTTCCCGAAGGCTCATTTAGAACAACAGTTCATTTTGTGCAGCTTATCAAAGACACACCTGGCTGAAAGCTGCAGGGCAGCCCTGACAGCGAGGAGCGCTGGTTTTGACCCGCAGCCTTCTTGGGGCCCCGGGGTCAGCAGCTCTTGGACATTTTGCATCTAAAATTAAAACAAAGGCTGGTGTTCAGCAGTCTCGGGAGGAAAGACTGGGTTCGCCTGCCTCCAGCTCCCGAGTGGCTCTGAAGAAGGAGGAGGAGGAGGAGGAGGAGGAGGATGGCTGCCTGCAGGGTGCACTGCTGCCCCGCTGCACCGCGCCCGCCCCGCGGGGCATCCCCTCCGGCAGGAGCTGCTTCTCCAGCTGCGCTGACACGGGGTTTTTTAAGCGCAGCAATAAATAAGCCAAAATACACTGACTGCGGGCACGGCCCTGTTGAGTTTGTGTAAAATTAAATGTTACCCTCGTTAAGCGCCTGCGTTACAGCACAGCCCTTCAGTCACAGGGGGACGGAGTGAAGGCACTGTTAGAAGTTCTCTGGAAAAAGAGCTACATGAGTTATTTCTAAATTAGTTTATGTATGTGTCCAGTGGACTGTGTGACAGCTCTCAGTTGTTGATCTTGCAGTTTGTCCTGTCTGAACGTGAAGTTCATCGAGGGCTGAGGCAGAGGTCATACTGCCACTTGAAAAGGCATCCTCTGGAGTTTTGAGCCTGTGGAGCTGTTTCACATGAGGCAGAGTATGACTCATGCTAATGAAAAGGGTAAAGAAGATTTTTTTAAAGAAATATATCGCAGTTAAATTAGTTTAGACAGCATGACATCAGAGAGTAATTAAATAGGTTTGTTGGAATTCCGTTTCCAATTCCAGAGTTCAGGTTTGTAAAAGATTTCTGAGCACCTGCAGGCCTCTGTGTGTGAAATATTTTCACTGGAAAGGATTCAAAACTCAAAACTTTAAAAAAACCTTTTAACACAGAGGCAGCATTACGCCATTCTTCCTTCTTGGAAAAAAAAAAAAAACCCTTGGATTTAAACAAGACTCCTTCAAGTTTTCAGTCAGTTTTACAGAAGAAAACGAGGTGGTAAACTTTCTCTTTTCAAGAACAAGTTCTTTATAGCTGCTAACTGAAGTCAGGGGAGATCATATCTGAGTACATGAGCATTTCCACTATGGGACTGGATACAAGTATTGAACAACGATATCTGAAATGTTTTAATCTCAAACGAAAACCATTTTTGCTAACTTTGGTTTTTAATTTCTTTCATGTTTTCTTCTGCCAAACTGGAGGAACCTTTTCTGAGTTTTTCTTTAGTGGCATTCAGAGGAAGACCAGAGGATGAAAATCCTGCATTTTCTCACTTTACTGCTTTGGCATTTGACTTGGCTGTCTCTGGATCTAGTTCCTGGAGCGCTGAGTAATTCTGAAGCAGGCCAGGGTAATCCAGGATCTAAACTAGGTTTTTTGAAAGCAGAAGGAAAGGAGAGGAATCCCTCTGCACGGACAGGTACATTGAGGACTGCAAGCCATGGATACAGTGCTGGGACCTCAAAGGCCAGGACTAAAAGCAGTGCTGTTCAGGCTGGAGCTCTGCTGGCCAAGAACGATGACTCAAAGAAGGTTCCCTCAAGAACAGCAGCCACGGAGGGCAAGGTAGGACATCTCCCCAGCAGACCTTCTGGAGTAAGGACAGTGACTCCAAAGGTTCAAAATCTTAGCAGCAAGGTGGCTTTGAAAAAAACTGGCACAAGCAGTACTGACAGTGATTCTTTCAAAACCAAAAAGACTAAAGAGCCTGTAACCCAGAGGGAAGCTAAGGAAACTTTCCGACATCCCCCGATAACGCCACATGAATACATGCTCTCTTTGTACAGGACTCTCTCAGATGCAGAAAGAAAGGGTGTTAATGGAAGTGTAAAACTGGAGGCTGGACTTGCCAATACAATAACCAGCTTTATAGACAAAGGACAAGGTAAGAAAGGAGCTTGTGTGTGAGTGAGTGTGGACAGAGAGAGATGTCTGAGTGTGCTTATAAATGCAGAGAGTATTGGAAAATAATCATGTTTTGGAAAAGTCAAAGAGCTCTTTTTAATGTTAATGAAATCACACAACTTTGCTGCAGATTTTGTCCTCCTGACTTATCTTGGAAACTCATTTACAGGCAGGACTAGATGGTTGTGTGGCAGCCAAAGAAAACATTTAGGAAGTATTTTAGATGCATATTGTTGAAAATCAATGAGTCTTTGCATGCTTAGGTGTTTAAAAACCTTTCAGATTTTTGTCTTATTTTCTTCCTAGCTAGCTGGAAACTAGCTCATGGAAACAGCTAATGTTAGATTGTAGTGTGCCTAAAAACAAACAATATGCTAAGAACAGAGCTATTCTGTGAAAAAAAAAAACAAAAAACCAAAACCAAAAAGCAACAGTCTGGTTTGTTCAAGGTAGAATTGTGAGGAACTACTCTGCAGACCCAGGGGTCATTGTCCTGTGGGGGGGTGTATCTGTACTACCTTAAAACTTTCAGGTAGCACCAAGGAGCCCTTGCTCAACACAGGCTACCAAGGGTAGTAACATCCAGGACTCCGGATTTGGAACATTCCTGTTCCAAACACTTCTGGAAATTTGGGCTAGTGTCTGCTTTCACAGGAGAAATAACCAGCCTCCCAATGAATGATGTTCACCTCCCCACCCTGCTTTGTGAGCCCCATCTTGCTTCCAGTGACATTTTTAAGAGTTTTGTCACATTCTCAAGGAAGCAACACAGCTGGTAAAGGAATTGTGATGAAAGACTCACCAGGACTGGATTTGTTTGCCATCTCTTCATTAATAGCTTGGCTGCTGGGAAGGGAGGATGCACTGCTCACAAGTGCTGCCTTCAGGTTCCCAGCTTGCCACTGGAAGGCTCTGTTAATGTCACCTCACCGGAATGAATATGGCTCAGCCATATTCTTCACCACCTGAAGCAAGCAAATGTAAAGTCAGGATAAAGAGAGGAATTTTTTTCTGCCCAGTTTGAAAAATTGTGAATTACGTGGGGTTTAGTTAATTAGGCAATTATTCTTATGTCTGGCAGTTCCTGAGGATGCTAGTTTTAAAGGACTAATTTACTATTGCATCATCTAAGGGTAAATTTGCTCATGTTTGGAGCCAGCATAAGGCCTGGCCACTACTGAAGCTCTCTTTCAGTAATTTAAGTAGGATATTAGTGTAAATAGGTTCTGTGAATGCTCAGCCCTGAAAAAGTATCATTTTTTAACTGGCTACTCACAACTCTGAAGGTAGAAAATGCCCACTGGTAATAGAAAGAAGATTTCCACAAGGCAGACTCAGAAACTCATTTCTCTGGTGAGTCCCTGAGTTCTTCTGAGTCCCTGCATGGGGCTGATCCCTTAGACAAAAATTGTTTTTTCTGTTCTGTGGGCTAACTTCGAGGCTTATAAGCAAATTTGAAGAAAACCATTGAGAACTGAATACGTGATATTGCTTTGTGCTTGATATACATTTAAAAATCTGTGTGCTTTTTTTTTAGATGAGCGAGCACCAACTATAAGAAAACAAAAATATATTTTTGACATCAGTGCATTAGAAAAAGATGGTTTGCTGGGAGCAGAGCTTCGAATATTGAGAAAAAAACCTTCTGATACCTGGAAGTCTCATTCTTCTGGAAAAACTTCCCAAGTAAAATTATTTAGTTGCTCTACAAACAGACAGGCCTCAACACTCTTGGACTCTCGGACTGTCAGCATCACCGATACACCCAAGTGGGAAGTGTTTGACATCTGGAAACTTTTCAGAAACTTTAAAAACTTGGTTAACTTGTGTTTTGAACTGGAAACTTTTGACAGGGGGAGAGCTGTTGATCTCAGGAGTGTGGGATTTAATAGAACAGGAAGACAGGTCAATGAAAAGGCTCTGTTCTTGGTGTTTGGGAGGACAAAAAAAAGAGACTTATTCTTCAATGAAATCAAAGCTAGATCCGGCCAAGATGACAAAACTGTTTATGAGTACTTATTCAACCAGAGGCGGAAGAGAAGAGCTCCTCTAGCAACACGGCAAGGCAAGAGGCCCACCAAGAATCTGAAGGCGAGGTGTAGCAGAAAAGCCCTCCATGTGAATTTTAAGGATATGGGCTGGGATGACTGGATAATAGCCCCCCTGGAGTATGAGGCGTATCACTGCGAAGGGCTCTGTGAATTCCCCCTCCGGTCCCACCTGGAGCCCACCAACCATGCAGTTATCCAGACTTTAATGAACTCCATGGACCCCGAGTCCACGCCCCCGACTTGCTGCGTCCCAACCCGGCTGAGCCCCATCAGCATCCTTTTCATTGACTCTGCAAACAACGTGGTCTACAAGCAGTACGAGGACATGGTGGTGGAGTCCTGTGGCTGTAGGTAGCAGAACAGCTGCTCATGTGAATATGTTATGAAAGGTAATTTGACACATTGGACATAACTTCTCCTCAAACAAGGTTAACTAGATTTCTTACCCCTAGGGTAAGTGTGTTTACAAGGATGTAGCAATAAATCCAGCGTTTCTGTGTCTCTCCATGGACATATTGCCGTAGCATTTGAATGCTGTAACACAGCTGGATTTAAGGCCCTGTGCCGCTGGCAACACAGGACTGACTCTAAGTGAAGTCCATGACAGAGAAGATGATATCTGTACACCTTGAGATCTCCTGCTTTTAGCCTCAAGGCAGTGGATAGAGATGATATCAGTGAGCTGTGGATATGACCTGTTTGTTCCTTGAACATTGTTCTTGAGAATGAATTTCTGTCTGATTCCCATGTGCTTTGTCCATTCATAAATGTGAGAAAAGAGTCCCAATGTTGACAAGAGTTGTTGTGTTCTGGTGTGCCCCCATCTTGGTGTAAATAGTTGCACTGTAATACGATTTCCTTCTGATTAGCTCTTGAAACTATGCATATATAAAAAGGGGTCATTAAATATAATATTTTGGCTTAGTTTTAAGTTTTACATAAAGATAGGTGATGCAGGAGGTATTTGCTTCCATGTATGTTTTCCTCCAAGCTACACATCTTTCTTAAGTATCCACCTTTCCATTATTATGTAGCAAAATATATTATTCTGTATAAGGTCCAAGTTGTTCTCAAGTGCTCATAGTAAAAGTGTTCAATTATGGCATAAGATGTAATAAATTATTGACACAGTGCTGCATTGTGCCTAGCTGTCCAACTCTGCATAATTATAACACAATTAAGAAATTGTTTTATGTTTTTGTACAATAAATAGAAGTGAAAGGGACTTTTCCATGCAGCAGAATACCAGGGGTATGCAAAACATGTCTGTGTATTTTGCTGCCACAGAGAGAAACTGTGGAAACATTGAAAGAAAGATCTGAAAGGAAGGCCTGGTTTGATCTGGTGGGGAATGACACTGTGACTTGATGTGTTTGGGGCAAAAATGAGTTATGCAGATGGTTGCAAAAGAGCTTTGGTATCCATTTATTCCAGCCTCCACGGGCTGTGTGCTTGTATATCCCCTTTATCTATTACAGACATGGATTATAAATGGGATTGCCCCTGTATGTTTCCACCCACAAAACTAGGTACCAAATGTTCAACTACAGATGGATCAGAAAAGTCCTATGAACCAACAGAAATTACTGAAGGAGTTTATCCATAGTACAAAATATAAATGCTAAGGTTGGATATTTCTTAGACCATCGAGTCATAAGATTTCCTGGCTCTGCAGAGCATCACTGGTGTGTGGTAGAGGCAGGGAGCTGAGTACAGTCCCCAAGGTCCTTCTGCTCAGTGCCCCAGTCTGGACATGTTCCAGCTCACACCAGCAGCAAACCATCCTAAATTCCTGATCAATGGCCATAAACAGTGACATAAAGCTCTGCCCTTCCTCCTGCACTCTCTGGGTAGCTCAGCCTTTAACCAGCTTAATGCACCTGGATAAGCATCCTTGCTGCCAGACACCTGGGGAACCCCTGTGCAGGGGACCTGCCCTGTGCCCTCACCTGCAGCTCAGGGATGCAGAACAGCCCTGTAGGGAGATTTGGTCTGTGGGATTTGCTCAGTGCCATCATTCCTGCCTGCAGAGACTGGCACTGCCTGGCTTGGAGGGGCTGACACTGCCTGGTTTTCCTGCCTGCAGGCACTGCTCACCTGCTGCACACCCGGGGCCAGAAAGCTGCCCCTGCCCCGATGGTGAATGCCCAGCAGGGCAGCAGGCACATAGAAATTCGGGTGTTTTATGGGTCTTTTCAGTGGGTCAGGGCTGCCTGCAGAGATTCCCCATCTCCCTTCTGGACTCCCAGCATCCCTTTCCAGGTCCTGCTCTTCCTCATCCTCATGGAGCCTTAGGCCAGGCACAGCAGTTACTGGCCCCAGCACTACCTGCCTTTCATCAGCCAGTCTTTCAAAACTACAAGTCTAAGCTTTACTAAAACCTGATTTAAATACTGCTGATTTTTACTGTTGCTACAGTAGGAGCGAAAACATTCCCCTGCCAAGTCCAAAGCCAGGAGGGCAGCTCAGGCGTTTTTTTTCCCCCTGATCTGTTCAAACAGTTCTTTTCCAGCTCCTGGCTGTTCTCAGGTGTGTTTGCAGCTTTCTCTAGCACTGGCTCCACCTATCTCCTGGAGAGGTTTGCTCAATGACCATGACAAAGGGTTGTCTCCTTTTTTCCTTAGGCATGTGCAGCTCCCACTCTGGGAATGCTGTTTGCACGTTCCCAAGGAAATCTCTGCTCTGACCTTTGAGACACAGCTGTGCCATGCCAGTTACTAACCACACAGGTTTCTCAATGGCTAAGGGTGATCAGTTTAAAATAGCAAATACTGCCTATTTAAATACACTTGCAGCAAATCTAAGCTAAGACAAGTTAACTCCTGGGATTAGGACTGCCTGCACGGGGCAGTTTGCTTCAGTACACCTGGATTCATCAAGTGCTGTAACAACTGTGGTGGACAGGAGCACTGGTGAGTCATGAGGCATGATAGTTTGGAAATCTGAGGAGGAAAATTCCTCTGCAGAGCTGGTGATCGGCCTGAGAGTCCTGGTGAGGCTGGTCACAACAGAAAGTTTCTAAAACCTAATAGGTATAAACCTCTCTGAGGTTCTTTCTTGCTGTCCTTGTATGAGTTTTTCAATGCATGAATAAAGCAAAATAAAAGCTCAGGTAAATGGTATTTAAATTGAGTGTGTATCAGCATCTAAATGGAAAATATGCCATAGTTTTGCAATTATCCCAAAGTAAACAGTATGATCTGAGGAAAAATGAAAAGAAATACTGTCAAACTGAAGTCTTAACAAATATCCTTTGGTAATCATTAAAAAGCCTACATTCTGCTTGGTGGGAGTTATACCTAGAAAGGAAAATAAAAAACCAAACCATCAATAGGTCTGTAATATCAGTTTAAACAAATTTGAAGGTACAGACAGTAAAATGCTGGAATCATAATGGATTATTACTGCTTCAAAAACGGCTTTGGCCAAAACAGAAGCAGTTTAAGCCCAAGTGTCTGGGTTAGGAGGTAACATGACATTCAGTTTGCTTGGCTGGTCTCTCAAATGTGGTGGCATCCAGAAGGGACAGCCCTGGCACTGCTCAAGTTTGGTTCAGCTCAAAGTGAGGAGTTTATAATCATGGACATAGGAATAAGGTAGGGTTTTTTCACTTTTAGCTCTAAATTTGAGCATTCTTGTTTGATACCATTAGCTATAAACCAATATTGTGATGACCAGTGTGTCCTTTTGCATTTACATTGTGAAATTGTCCGAAAAGCCTGGAAATTGCAGTTCTACACTATTTTGTTCTGGAATGCTCTACTGACTTTGCCCATGGTGTAAATGTGTACTAGCCTATAGGTGCTTTATTGGTACATTGCTGGAGGCATTGGAATCCCCAGGCACAACAAACTTCTGTCTTCTCACAAATTGTTGCCAATCTTGTCAAGACCTTACCTGGCAGTCTCAGTTTCAGTTACCTGGAACGTGGACAGAAACAGGCATTGAAACTTCTCCAGGTACATGAATGGCATGGATGAGCACAAAAGAAATACCCAGGCAGGGTTCACTCAATCTTCATTCCCCTCCAAACCCAGGGGTTTAGGAATAAGGCACACCCTGGAGTTGACACTCGGCACAGAAACTGGAGAGAAACAGAGAAATCAGAGAACCTGACATTGGCCAAGGAAGTGGTGGAGTCACCCATCCCTGGAAGTTCAGCAAACAAGCAGATGTGACATTTGCTGATGTGGTTCAGTGGAAGTCTTTTCCAGCCTGAGTGATTCTGTGATTCTATGACTCCAGGATTTTGGCACTACTTTCTTCAGCCAGGTCATTATATAATGTGCAAAGATAGACACCCTAAATTATTGTTACGGCTTTCTTCCCATGGGTGAGTTGATGTGAGCAACTGGATGGCAGAAACCTGAGCTGTAAAGCAATACAGGTTAAAAGTTTAGCTTTCCACCTTTATGATGGCAGGTTTCACTCTCACTGAGAATGCCTCATTTGTATTTACTTTTTAGGGTCATTATCTGTCCCACGAGAGTCTTTGTGAAGGTCCAAATTTCAAATAAACAGTACACTATAAGACAGGTATGTGTGGATAATTTTTGTTGTATTTGGCTAAAATATGGGTACTAAGCTCAATAGGTAAACATAAAAGTATGCCATTGAAAACAATGCATTCCCATTAGTGTTTGAATATGTGCCTAAACTCCGTGTACACTTTTACATGGTTATGTCATTTCCTGTGTAAAATGGGCTTGTTTATACAGCAGCCATATGAAAGATGCAGGAACCCGCTATGTGGGCTATTTGAAGCTTTCTTTAAGAAACATAAAAACCCCTTGACCCTTGTATAATAAAAGGTGTTAAAAGATACTGCTTTTATAACATCTTAGCCAAGAGTAATAAGAATGTACTAAGCAAACAATATTTTTTTTACTCCATAGTCCTGGTCAATCGTGTTATTTTATGGATTTTACTATTGCTGTTGGGTAGTAAAATGATATTTCAAAATAAAATTGCAGGAGATTTCATTGCTTCTCAACAAATCCAATAAACAATAATCTTAACATTTTTTGAAAAACAGTAAATACAGAGCAGTAAATGCACTTTGCTGAGTACTCAGAATAGCCCATTTATTCTGTCATTCCAAGTTCACTGATGTCCCTGTTTGCCTGGTTGTTTTTTTTCAGAACTAGTTTCAACTTTCTGCAGTGATTTGGCCAGCTGAAGTAATGCAAATGGATTCAGTTTCCCCTGATGTCATTTTGAAGGGCATAGCTGTCAAGAAAAAATGACTTAGTCAACAATAACAGTGATTAATTGGCTGACCCTCTGCTAGGGGACAGAAAATGTTCTTTTCACTGTTTTTTTCTCTTAGAATCTATTTGATATAATATCTTGAGC